GAACGTGCTCAACTTCAACAATACTCTCTGACTGCAGTTCAGTTACTCACTACACTGTTCCGTCACGTTGTGACCGTCTTATATATATACAAGACTAACACATTCTTGAAGAAACAGGATATTTCTAGAAAACGTGGCGTGACACTAGTCACGTGACCTCGCTGACGCAACATAGTCACATTTCTTTATCTTATTGATCCAGATCTTACTGATCACCAGATGATATTGTACTCCTGAATAAGATCATCTCTTACTCTTCTTTTCCCAATAGAAAAATAAGATATTTTTAATCTATAGAACTGTGGAATTCGAAATATGAGTTGGTCAACCCAGAGCGTCAGTTCAAGGTGCAAGACCGGACCTAGACTTTGTTTTAATAACAACCAAATGACAGTGGAAGGAACGCAGTCGGGATCCAGGATAGATGTAGACCATCATGACAGTTCAGAGACACAAATATGAATCTAGGTTCAGTTCAAGGTGCACGAAAGGCACCTCGCCACCGACAAGACTGTCCGCAGGTACTAAGAATAGTGTTCTACAGGCCAGTCAGATAAAAACACATGTAAACCTGTAAACACGGAACTTGACCACCAGGTTCTTTATACTTTCACACGCTGCCCCTGGAAGAAATTTTAGAGAAGAGGGTTGCTGTAACTAGCCTGTTACAGCCTTAACCCATACTTCTGACCGAGTTGTTGTGACCTGCTTGACCCAGAAACCGTCTGGCTATGTTGTTGTCAACTAGCCAGTTGTCAATCATTCTATTCGTGTTGCAACTCAGACCTTAAGACATTCCGTAGGTGAAAGGTGACTACATTTTTGGCCACTCCAATCTAGGGACCTGACGTGCTACAGAAAGTGTCTTACACCATTACCAGAAAGGTGACTATCGTATGGACAACTCAAGGCTAGGACCATTACAGACTCCACAAGGTGTCTTGAACTGACACCCACGTTATTAGAGATGACTTCTTTGGTTTGAACTTCTACAGTCGATTGAATTATTACAAAATGGTCAAACTGGAGTGCCTTTTTCTATTGAGAAAGTAAAAAGTAAGATAAGGTGTGATGGAATATATTTTTAAGTGTTGCCACACATTAAGACGAGCATGACGAATGATACTGGTATCATTTGTATAGTCCTACATGTTCCAATTATTCCATTGATTTCGAGATGCAATGGACACATTCAAAGAAATGTGGTGAAAAAAAAACATCTGTAGTTAATAAGTTTAAGAACTTGTTATCTCCTGTGGGCGTACGGCTCAAGGCAAGCAATATGCACTTACCAATGGAAAGAAATATGCCAGCGTCACCTGAAACCAGAAAGAAAATAAAACCGAAACAAGTCAAGGATCATGTATTAAAGTATACGAAGAACAGCACTTTGTGTTGAATGATCAGAAAGAAGCGGAAACTGAAAACATGGAACATGAGAAATGAAATAGAACTGACAAGATATTTAACTGTGCTGCTCCCGCTCATATTTTTCATGCATCGTTTTTTCCAACTCAAGAAATTCACGGAAAGACTTATAAATTGTAGTTTTTATTGTCTTCCAAGTTCCGTTTACTCCATTAATAAGACATTCTAAAGAAATTCTTATATTTTCCAATACTGGGAGATTATTTATGCTGAGAGGTTACTGTAATTGGTAAAAAAGCAAGAGAAAATATTTCATCACATGGAAAATCTAAAATGACATTTGGAGGCTGCGGACATATTTTCTTTATTTTCTCAAACATTCTCTGTATAGTATCTAAACAAATCAAAAGCTCAAGATGAAAGGAATATCCGAAATGACCTTTAAAACATTGTCTCATCTGTAAGATTTTCGGCACAACAACCACTTGTTTCACAGAAGAAATGCCCCCAGTGGCACAGCGGTACATCTGTTCTGGTGGGCAGAACACTGATAGCCCATTGTGTAGCTTTGTGCCTAATTACAAACAAACAAACACAGAAGAAATATCAAAGTGTTACAGATTGTTAAAACATCGTGCATGAGATGATTGCGCCCTCTATATGCCCCATTATTTAAAGTCATATACACATCATGGTATCCAAAACGAAATATTGGGTCTCTTTGCAAAAGAAATTCTAAGAATCAACTTTTCGGTTTTACTGTATAATTGGTGACAGAACCATAGATATTAGCAGCAATTAGAAGACTTATTGATGAGATCAGAAAAACCTCAAATTGATGCCGAATTAGTTATTCAGTCTGTCAGATTTAAGAACCTAGCAAATCTTTGGGCAGAAATTGATTCCCAAAAACTTTGTATTCGACTCTATTTTCTGAGTAGTAGTGAAAAAAGTGTCCTTGTAGCTGCATTTCCGATCATTTCCAATGTAACATGAATAATGTTTTGTGAAATAGAACTCGTTTTGCGTTTTATCTCTGTCGTACCAATATCTAACGCCATATCTGAACGAATTTTCTCAGTGTTGGTCCGACTCGAGACATGGTTACGATCATCCAAAAAACAAGAATGTTTGAATTCCTGTGCACTAATATATTTACACCAAGAAGGAACGGATAAACTGGATTTAAACGAAATTGTGAATTAATCTGTTGTTCTTAGTATTCAATGAGCTTCAGTTTTGGGTCATCCAATTTAACTTAAAACAAAAAAATTTTGAAACTATTGATTAATGTTATTGTGTCAATAAAGACGTGACCGTTAAAGTACTTTTTGTTACCTACCTCCGTATTCTATTGATTAATGTTATCGTGTCAATAAAGACGTGATCGTTAAAGTACTTTTTGTTACCTACCTCCGTATTCTATTGATTAATCGAAATAAATCAGTGTTGATTCCAAAGTTCATTGAAAGTACTTGATAGCTGCTCTCATGGTGCCGTGGAGGGCGAGGGGAGGGTATATTTGGGTATATGTTTCTAACTTCTGTGGCTTTCATCATTTATATGAATATACTTGTCACGTATAATAGCGAAGTGGTTCAATATATTTTCAACTCTATGGATATTTGGGTATATGTTTCTAACTTCTGTGGCTTTCATCATTTATATGAATATACTTGTCACGTATAATAGCGAAGTGGTTCAATATATTTTCAACTCTACACGAGCAGTATGGGACTTAAAATGCAGTATTTTATTTATTTTTTTCTATATGACCATGCGCATCATGTTTGATATATTTCCAGCTTCTCTGGAATAAAGTTGGGACTTTTTTTATATTATATTACATGTGTGCATTGAGTTCCCTCACTCAAATACTTCAGATGCCTACATAATGTATTACTAAGTTATTAATTTTCAACCATTTTCTAGGGATAGACCAGCATAGGGGTCACCCCTTTTGCACCCTGTCCGTACTACGCGAGTCGACGACTATCTTGTCTCCTCAGCCTCCGGTATCACTAAGCCTTCAAAAACTTCTGTAATTTCATAAAATTTTAAAGGGCAAAAAGGAGCTTATTAGCTCATCAAGAATGTTCCTTCCAGCTCCCAACTATAACCACCCCTCACTACTCATGAATTTACCCAATCGTTTCTTGAACTTAGTTAAATTTTCTGCCTCCACCACCCTTTAAGGCAGCTCATTCCAAAAGACAACTACCCTGTTTGAAAAGTAATACTGTCTACACTGCAGACGAGTCTTACGCTTCTAAAATTTGAATGTATGCTCACTTGTCCTATTGTTTTCACTGCTAAGCACACACAGAAAAGCTATCAATACCATTAATAATCTTAAACACTTCAATCAAGTTTAGATATTTTAGTTTCTCTTCAAAGAACAATCTCACCATCCCAGGTAACATCCTAGTGGCTCTTCTCTGAACCTTCTCCAACAATTCAATGTCCTTCTTGAGGAAGGGAGCTCAAAACTATACACAGTACTCTAAATGACGCCTTACAAGTGATCTATACAGTGGAACAATAATGTTCCTTATCTTGTATTCAATATTTCTATAGATGCTACCCAAAATCATATTTTCCCTATTGCTAGCTATAATACACTGTTTAAATGGCTTAAGTTATTTTTCGATCACAACACCAAGTTCTTTTTCTTCAACCATTTAATGTATTCTTATTTAAATCGTAACAATAATTTCAATTGTGAAAACCTACCTACATCACTTTACATTTTGGATAGTTAAACACCATCTGTCACGTAATCTCTCTTTCATAACTATGGTGCCGACATAACACATTTATTAACTCCTTGTTTGTTTGTTTGTTTG